AGGCCAGAATGCCATCATTGAATCATATTATGAACAAATTGATTCTTTATTTTTGGTAAAACAACAATTATTTTTGTTCATCTTTCGGAGTGTACAAATGGGAATCCCTGTAATGTTCGAAGAACATCGTGCGTGGGTAAGAAAGATTTGAAGAAGAGGTAGGTATTGCTTTATTTTGAACTCTTGGGAAATCATACGTTCGTGGGAATACTTCCGCGCGTGGGAAGAGAATTCCAAGGCTTTGCCGTTCTATATGAACGAGTTTTGGTAGAGAGTTGTTCGACATATTTCGAGGTGTGTGCACACAAAATGACAAAATGATGTGCTGACTGGACTTGTCATACTAGACTCTGACGGGTATTGCTAGTGATGGAATTACTTCTGAAGAACATTTAGGAAGGTTGTTCCAATGATGAAAAGTATATTTTCTAACAGCGAATTATTAGGAAGATTCGTCCAATGTTGAAAGTCATTGAAAATATCATGGCATAGTGGTGTCATATCGAAAGCACATATATTTACTACTTTTTTCTGAAAACTTGGATGAAAACTCATTGGAAAATGTGTTACCACAATCAATGATGTGTAACATTCAATATAACAATTCAATACACTTTCAATTCGTCAGCTTTTCCAATCATAAATCACAATCACTTATATCGATCGCCCATGTCACGAACCCACACGTGAATAGTGTGAGAATATTAGATCGTCAGCAAGTAGAACTTCGTCAAAATAGTAGCTTTGAATGAAATGAGATAGAGGGCACCCCTCGGGGCACCCCCGAAATGTGCCCGTAACTCGCTACTGTCGAAGATTTCAAAATTGGTCGAATCTTTGTGGTTACACTATGTAACCATTTTATGCTGCAAAGGGTTAAAAACAATAATAGTCTCTATTTATATAGGAATCTCAACATATAACGTGATGGGAGTGTATCGTAAGTATCAACTCCCTTGAAAGTTGGCTGAACTTCTACCTCAATAGATTCAAAACGCATAGAAACAGCTCTTACGCTTTGATCTCAAATTCACTTGTTCGTAACGAGATTTAGTGATAGGTCATATTGCAGCTAGAGAAGATGCAATAAGTAGGTTCATTGGGGTTGCGATATCAGAACTGTTCAAGAATCGTTCTCGAACTGCGTAGAACTAGTGCGCAGTCGCCTCGAATCCTAGGACTGTTTCAGAACAGGTTTGTTCGTGTTCCAAATTGTTGAAACGGTCCTTGGACTGCACAGAATCAGGTGCGCATCAAATTCAATCCGAAACAAGTCTGGGCCTTGTCTGGGATAGTTCTGATACCAGATAAACGAAAACAGCGTTTTCCCGTTTTCTCATCATCTTTCTCGAAAATATGCTGTGTCTTGATTCACGTGAATCGAGGGTATAGTTAGGTTGGGGTTATGTTGATCTTAACATGGAAGAATCCCAAAATCTAAACATATACCAAAAAAGATCCCTGAATTCTTAATCTGAGTACAGATTCGATTGAAACCACCATTCTCCAGATGGGTCTTCAGTATTTCCAGCAGATAAGATGTTCAAAAACGTTTGTTATTATCTGAACTTGAACTTCAAAAGTGTATCTCTCAACATAAGAACGTTTAGAGGTTAAGAATCGGTTGCATAAACGCATACGCATCCAAAATTATTCACGACAGTCATGGGCAGTACTTGCCCAGAGGCTTGTACTGCTTTGGACCGATTGGAAACTGTCCCAAACTAGTTCGTATAAAACGAAAACACGTGATCTGTGGAATACGAAACAGTCCTGAGAAAACGCGAACACTTCTTTGTCACTGCGCATGCTTCTGATGGTTTCGGACTATTAATTTTGTGAACGCGAACAAACCTAACGGTTCACAAATTATGGAAACCCGCATGCGGCAGAAGAGATCCTCTGAGAAAATAACCTCTATTCAGAATTTACGAAAAAAACAATAGTTTGGAACCTGTATCTTCATTCGAATAATATTCTGAAGCTTCAAACTCTCCTTTGAGTCTATTCACAATATTTCTGGAAGCCCTCTGTGGAGGAAAGGTGAATATATTCCATCATAGCATTCGTAGCTAGATTTTCAATATGTTTTTTCCCTTGTACCTTGTACGTGAATGTCGACATCCACCTGAAATGTTCAATATATTGTGTATCTGAATATGACGGCAAAGTATCCCCAACATAATCCTCCATTTTTCGGATTATCTAACAAAAGTTCGAGAATTATCAAATTAGGCACAATATTTTCAGCAACTTCTGCAAGGAACTCATTCACCACAGCTTCTTGAAGAAGAAGAACTACTAATATCAAATGAATGTACTAACTCCATAATATTGAGAAAATATTGGAAAGAGCAATAAACAGTTGAATAAACAAAAATATATCATTATGACGTTACGCTAGAACAGAATCCTAGAACGGTTCATGCTCGAGAGCAGGTACTGGTTTCGGGTAGTTCTAGGACCGTCCCAGGACGATTCTGGAAAACCCAAACGCGTAAAGAGTCAGTCCTAGAACAATTCCACAAAACCCGAACGCGATCGATTATACTGCGCAAGCTCCTGACAGTTCTAGAACCGTAATAGTTCGAACCCGAATGAACATAGTATAACCCGTAAATAGTATCATCCCATCAAGGTACGCACAATGTTCTTCGAACATTATAGGAATTTCCTTTCCTGCGCTCTAAGAGATGAAAAAAATGGAAATAAGGTCGTTAGTCACCAGAAGCATCAGCTTTAAAAAAACACAAAATATTTTCAACGATATTGAATTATAAGTATGCATAGGATTTTTGTAGATTATTTATTAGGGGTTATCAGCAAAACGGATCATTTACAGCTGTTGACGTCAGGGGCAATGGAACTATCATACTAAATATCCCATTCTTTAGTTTTAATCTATTCCTGAAGATGCTCACATAGTTAACGAAACACGTGTCAAGGCGTTAAAAAATCAGTTTGGTTAGTGGCAAAAGTTTCCAGTCTTCGGTATAAAACATTTTAACTCTTCCGCTAATCACCATTCACCATAACCCTTTTCGTCATTCATATATCATTGTCTGCCCAAGCCTCCAAAGTTATTGCACAAATGACCTCGGAACTCAAGGCGAGTGCGGTTCGACGAGTAGAGGGCTACTTAACGGCACATTTTCCACCCTGAATACCAATAAAATGAACGAGGACGAAAAGCATCCGTTCACTCCCTGTGCAACAAGGACACAATTCACAAAAATGCCTGAGCACGTTACCAGCACGAGCTGAAAAAAAGGATAGAGATAGTTGTGCCGTAATGCAAAGGAAGGGCACAATCTCATTTAACAGGTCTTCATAGATATGTCATAGACGTAGAAATGGGGTAGAATAAAACAAATTGAATAAACTCTCAAATTCAAATGGATATCTAAGCTCTACATTACTACATGAACACTTCACTTGCCTAGGTACTCATTAAGGACATAGCAAAACGAACAAGATTAGTGAACTGAGAATGAAGGCTTACATATTTTGATCTACCAGATTATGCTACTGATGAGACGTTAGGTCAAAGTTGGTAAAACTGATAGAAATATTCCTTACTTTTGTATCATTTGATCTCTTCCTACGATACCTTTTCCTTTTTTATTGTAAACATTTCGTCTTGAGTTCCACATTGAGAGTACAAACGCAAGACGTAACAATGTCTAGATAGGCCACATATTTTTTTCAGAAAAATTTCGAAAAAACAGTCCCCAGCCTTCAAGGCTATACCTACCCTACAACCTCAGGGATTTCTGACTTTGACATAGAAATCACGTGCTAGTAACGCCAACTGATGGAGATAGTAGCCCTCTTTATTACGGAATAGAGATAGAAAAATGCATTGAGTCGAATACTGTGCATATTACGTTTAGTTTTCGGAATGCTCCTGATATCCTTCTTGGATCTTGGCATTATTCAGTTGAAACTGCTTTTTATCAGCTCAAGAATAAACTTCATCGAGTTACCTATTTCTATACTGATCTACTGAAAAGCGATGAGGGTTTGTCAGAAATTTTGTGAAGAGGGACGTATTGATATAACATAAAACGGCTATAATAATAATTATTTGAATCGGTCATTGCGAAAACAACCTAAGTCACAAATAATTTTTTTTTCAGGAGACATAAACACCATTTCATTTAATTAGGTGGGTATTTTGAGGCAATGCTATTTTATATACGTATTGTAGGTTATGGTTAGGTACTTTTGGAAGACGAAAGGTGGATATAGATCATGTAGTTTTTTTATCAAATCTGTGGGACTTGTTGATTTAGAAATGAAGCATGATATTTGATGTTTTTTATAAACCTTTTTATTTCAAACATTTGGAAAGTACGAGAAAATGACATAAATACATTAAACTTGGATATAAGATATAATATAAACTTGAAAAACAAGCTCAGGAACATACATTCTATCGTGTTTTTTCAATATCCGTTTTATTCACTACCCGTTCATTCCGAAAACCAACCAAAATCTCAATGGTAACGACTGGGAAACAAATTAGCCTTGCACTCATGCTATGAAACAGTAAGTTGTGTTGTTTCGCTCAGACTGATACGTGTTGAGATATAAATCATCATAGCGCCGAAATTTAGATTTAGCCCAGATATGGACTTACGTTGTTTTCGAAATGACCGATTCATTTATATTCGTAAATCTAATTTATTGAAATTATGTCTACGCTCATGGCGAAATAGTAGTAGAAGAAAGAGAGCCTCAGCAAGCGAGACGAAGCGAAAGCAGCTGCACGCGCTCGACTGGTCACAGGTGGCTAAAGTGTGGGAACACCATAGCCTCCGAGATTCCCACGATCGGACTCACCAACATGGGCCTGTTAACTCACTCGACTCCACACCTGGGCCCACTATAAAAGCGGCCCCTTCCATTCCGACACACTCATTCAGAGTTCGACTCTCGACCCGTTCGCTCTTACCCGATCGTGTGTCCACGCAGTGTTCAACAAGTGTTTACGAAAAATGTCGTACGAAATGATGACGCCGGCCGTCGAAGAACCGCAACCCATCTCGCGAACCTACCAGTACCGCAAGGTCATGAAACCGATGCTGGAGAGGAAGCGCCGAGCCAGGATCAACAGGTGCCTGGACGAGCTCAAAGAGCTGATGGTGACGGCGCTGCAAAGCGAGGGAGAAAACGTCTCGAAGCTGGAGAAGGCTGACATCCTGGAGCTGACGGTGCGCCACTTGCACAAGCTGCGCAGACAGCAGAGGCTGTCCACCAACCCCGTGATCGATGCAGACAGGTTCAGGGCGGGGTACACGCACTGTGCCAACGAGGTCAGCCGTTGCTTAGCAGCCACCCCTGGGGTGGATATCCAGCTGGGCACCAAGCTGATGACGCACTTGGGCCACAAGCTGAACGAGATGGATAAAGTGTCTCCGCTAGTAATTCAAGTGTCTTCGCCCTACACGCCTCCAGGATCGCCGTGTTTGGAGGGTGGGATGAGCAACCCTTACGGGATGCCCTTGACCCCGGCTTCCTCGAATTCCTCGAGGTGTTCGCCCTCTCCTAGCCAGCCGATGGATTGTTCGACAGCGGGTTTGCTGAAGGTAGCGAAGAAAGAAGACGTCTGGAGACCATGGTGAAAGTAACGAGGAAATTTTGTAAATATTTTGAAGTCTCACTGTTGTCTTTCTGGAAATTCAATCCATTGCTCAATTGCTTTAATGATAGGTTTTAAGGTAGGGATGTCGATCTCTTCCAGTTTTATGAAGCTTTAAATTTTAATGTTAGGATTGATATTAGGTTTATTTTTTCTATGTGATATTAATTGTTGGTACCTGTGATTTTGAAGGCAATGTAAATCGAAATAATTTTCAATCAAAAAATCGTGTGATGCCTTATTATGAAAATATTTAATAGTTGTATCAAGCGCCCCTGTGATACAATCAGTTGTTTATATTTTGAATGACGATACTACGTTCAAATAAATATTATTTGTTACATTATTATGATTGTTTTTCTTTATTTTTCTCTTTCAGGTCAAACGAAATTTGATGATAAAACAATAATTCAGTGAAATATAAGATCACTAACCTTTCAATGAATTTGATAAGACTCAACTATATAGGAGTCAATTATTATAAAAAAAAGATAAAGAATAATAATTCAGTTTAATAAAAATATTGGAATAAATGTTTAATTGACTTTGATGAACTAGAACAAACTTCAAAACAATTGAGTAATAGATGACAAGAATGGTTGAATATATATATAATTTGGTAAAAACATTGACTACAAATCATCAGTATTCATTATACTTACCTACCTCAATTACTTGATGAATGAGTGGTGTAACATCAATTTTGTCCCAATTATAGTAAGTACAAGTACCTATACGTTATTATGATGTTTTTAAGGACCTGACTGACCAAAGTAGTAGTGGTTGCTATTGACAAAAGGATGACACAATATTATTTTCATGTCTAAATTAGCACTAATTGTGACATTCCATTTATTATGAGTTACTACCTATCAAAATAGACAAACATGTGATCTTTCATGAAAAAAAAAATTAATGGAATTCTGATAGTCATTGATTAGTAATTGATAAATAATTTCATCCCCAAATGAATTCAAATAGTTATATATCATATTGTACATTCTTTTCCAAAAGAGAGCAACTAATGAAACTGGTTGAAAACTATGAAGTAATCACGCTCATTGATAGGAGATGTTATTATTATACAGGGTGGAAACTTTAACTGGAATAAATTCGCTACTGAGGGAGTGAATGATTTATCTGAAAATTTGTGGGACATGTCAACGTTTAAATACCTACATTTGGCGTGCAATATGGAGAATTAACCCATCAGGGGTAGCTGGAATCAACCCTAACATGTTTTCTTCAAATGCAACCCTAGGGCTTGCGACCCCTCATTGGAAAGCTGGATGAAATAGGAATACAGGGTACTGACCATATTTCAGTGCCTTCGAGGGTCGCAAAAATCGAAATATAATTTCGAAGTTTAATATATTTTCAACGTATTTTCATCAAAATTTCGACATACAGTGACAGTGGTATAGGGCATTTTCACCAGTTTGCAATTCCGCTTCGTTTCAAATTGTGATAACGGCAAAAAAACCGAATGTTTTTTTGCGGCTCTATAAAAATACTGATGGAATACAATAGCAGATAGCAGTAGTGGCAACAAATTGTCATCAATTGTTCAATTTCAAAATTACATTTCAATTTGATGCAATCTTAAAATGTATGAAGAACTAAAATTTGACTAATACGCTAGGATTCCTCTTTCCACCAGCTTTCCATTTATGCGTCACAAGATATAGGGTTACATTTGAAAAAATCATGTTGAGGGTGGTTTCAACTACCCCTGCAGGGATATATTCTCGATATTGCTTGCAAAAGGTAGGTAAATACGTTAAATCGTTGACGTATGTCATGAGTTTTTAGAAAAAATATTTACCTCCATGCTAACGAAGATCTCCACACTGTATGTCTGTAAAGTATAGGCAGAGGTTCGACAGTTTATTATATATCTCAAGATAATTCAGAAAAATTATATAAGTATCTGGGTGAAATTGTACTTACTATCCTGCAGATTTATTTCTGTATGATCCATGCTTTTTTGTTATCTAAACCATCAGTCTAAACAGAGAACAATACAATTATTACATACTAAAAATATCTTCAAAATTGAAGAAAGAGTCTGTATACACTTCCATAATGTATGTACCTCATGCCAAATTAAAAGATTCAATATCCACAATAACAGGTACTCAGGTACCTACATAAAATATCGACTCATAATATTACATCGCATATTAGTACCACCACCATCGACTTCAACCTACAACAGAAGATTCTTGGGGCTTCTGGGTGGAGCCATTTTATGTGAATTATGGATTATGGACAATACGATGGAGTATCTTGGTTTAACAATATTCATTCCTGGAACCTATTTATATACACGATGGTCCTCAAATAATTGTACTTAGAATTATCATAGCAGGTAATATATGATCTCGAATTATTACGATTTGAACTAACATGCCTTGTAGACTATGAGACCCAGCGATCGGGAGACTTATACGGTATGTTAGCAAACTTCATATTGCTGCTATAGCTATAGGTATACTATTTCACCTTCCGTAGGTGAAATGGAGATTACCTCTATCCCTGTCGGCGGTTCCTTTGAGCGTGAACGTTCAAAATTACTTCAAAAAGGTGATCGCATTATGTCTCCCAATTTGATATTTTTTGAAGTATATATAATTTTGTTATCAAAAAATTCAATTGCAAAAAATTGTTCCGGTTCGGAGTATAATTTATAGAATTTCAAAACTTCCAAAAATTTAAAAAATTCAACAAGTAAGATGGGTTTATCTCTGCAGCGACCACTGCACTCCACAAATTGTATAAACAGAAATTTTCTCATTTTCAACAGATAAATTATTGGTCAATATATGAGTATTTCAGCGTAAAATCAGCTTTGCTTATAACATTTCATGTCTGCCATTCAATTTTCTAATGAAAATTATTATGTACTTCGGAATATTAAAACGGCAGACATGCTGATGCGATCAGTGTGATCACGTTTTTGAAGTATTTTTTTTAGTTCACTTCAAATAAGAAAGAAGTCATTTGTTTGAAATAGAATTTGAGAAAAACTAACGTTATTATAGGTTTCTCACAAATATCTGAAAAAACTCTCGACCTAAACATATTATATATTGGGCCTAAAATTGTCAGAATTTTTCGAAATGTTTGAAGGAAAAATTCGATTATTGGTATACTGGTCGCTTTTTCAAGTATTTTCTTTGAAGTTTATTTGAAGTCCCTTCGAATAAACTCTTTTTTTGTCGAAAACAAATATACGTACAAAATAAATAAAGTGTTTCAGAGTTCAATCGAAACAATTTTATAGGCGATAGATCTCTCAAAAACATAAAGGGTACATTCTGAAGCTTCATTCTCGTTTATGTTCGATAAATCGATTGCCTTTTTCAAGTATCACCTAGAATACCCATTCATAATGGCAAAATTCGGTGTATATAGACGGTGACTGACGATTTCTCAGAATCTCATAATATTGTACTTCTTATGAATCGAATAATCTTGATGAATGTCTTGAATGCAGTTTCACTAGAATTTGGATGCAAATCTAGTCTTCATTTTATTTTTCGTGAAAGTAAACAAGATACAAAGTTCATTTGTTTAATCGAAAAACATATCAAACTCCGACGCGGAAATAGAGAAGAACAATGGTTTTCATCGCATAAATATCAATGAGGTTATTCTCTGGATAGCATGTGGAATAATAATAGTGCATCTTATTTAAGCCAAAACACACATTGTATTTTTATAAAAAAACTAGCCAAGTAACGAAAATCATCTAAGGGATTTTCGAGCTGTGGATATAAAACTACTTTTTTTCAAAAAATGTCTACACTCTGTATCTCGTATGGAAAAATGCTCAAAATGTCCCTATTCCACTCTGAAACACCCTGTATATTCTATAAACGTCAAACTTAATTTTTTATGGAAAATTAATTCATGTTTATGCACTACCAGTATTAACAGATCATATAACACACTTGGTATAGAGACAAAAGAATTCATTTTAGTTTGTTACAATGTTTCAAAGGTAGAAAATATCTATAAACCTGTCTGTCCAAGATAAGGTTGCACAGCTCTCGGAGGTTTTATATGCGACGTTTCGTATTCGTAGAACCATCATCAACTTTCGTTTTTCAAATACGGTCCTCATAATTTTTTCACAGATTCGGGAAAGCTTTTTTTATATTTTGAATTCAACCATGGAATATACAAGGTGATTTGACTGTGTTTCGACCTATTTCTATCCATCATCAATGTTTTTTCGGAAAGGAAAAATGCCATCAGTTCCACTTATTTCTGATCATTAAGTGTCAAACATTGATGGATTAGTTATTCAATACTGAAAAGAGAATAAAAAATATTTCACTAAATTTTTCAATGCAGCGCTTCAAATTGTTAATGCATTCTTACACACGAATTACTTCAATAACTTAACTTTGACAATACCAGCAGAAACAGTCATAACAAATGTTCAAAATGATCACCATTATTTTTTAAACAGAGATATTCTCTTCTCACAGTTGCTTCTAAGACATTACTAAGCATTTCTGGGGTTATTCTATTGAATGCTTCGATGACAGTTTCCCTTATTTTTTCTTCATTATCCAAGTTATTCGCGTAAACAAAGTTCTTGATATATCTTCAAAGAAAAAAATCCAGCCGTGTCAAATCAGACGACCACGCTGGCCAATTGACTGTTGAATGCCAATCCATTTTTCGGGTAATAATTACCCATTTTCATCCAGACAATTATTGTCTGGATGAAAACGCACGAACATCTCTAGAACAGGCGCGCATCCAAAGGGGGGGTACAGGGGGTAAATACCCCCCCTAAGGATTAGAAATAAATCAACTGAAGTGAAATGAAATGAATTATTGTTATCACGGAATTATTTTATTCAACGATAGTAGTGATATTCTTTCGTCCGAACCAACCGATATATTATATCAGTAGAATTAACTATATTGAATCAGTATGAACATACATTCTTTCATATTCCGATC